TTCAAAAAAGGCATGATTGTCCGCAATGCAAGTTGTACTACCCACTTCACTCACTCAATTCAGACACAACAAGCACAGGTCTTGGAAAGAAGCCTTCTCCCTCCCCTGTATCAGATAAGGATCCCCATGGAGATCGGAGCAAATTGTCACCCCTAGTCAAGCTTGGTATATATCCCTAATTAATACATAAATATGTAATAAAACAATCCCTCTCATTATTTGATATATATTAAATTAATATATTTTTTATTATCTTCCATTATATATATATTAAACCAAAATAAGAGAAAGAGACATATCTTTTAATTTTTCCTTACAAGAAAAGTTCATTAGATAATGAACATATTTAGTATTTTCTCTCATAAAATATTCCCATTATTATCATCAATTTTCTAATATTAACGTCTATCTCTTGAAATTCTCTTCCTACTATTTATAATTTATTGATTTCTTTTCAAGGCAATATTGATAAAAATAAAAAGAAACAAGGAGTGCGCCAACCAATCAGACATGCAAGTGCAAGGGCTTTATGCAATGAGAATGGCAATGTGAGGTGTATCACATCTTCAGGGAAGCAAATTACTATCCATATTACATGGTTTAGGGATTTTACCATTTAGAAGAAGGTCTTTATCAGTCTATCTATTTAAGGAGACACATAATTTGGTACATGAGTATCTTACAAATGATTTGTTAGGAGTGTATAGAGTTAGAACCTCTAAATTAATTTGTACTAAAACACTGTTCATTGTAAAAAAGAAAAATTTTTTTCCTCTTGATTGTTTCCCTTTTTTTGTTTTTGTTTCTTAACTAAAATTCTTAACAAAGTTCTGTATTATTATTAACTCGATAGTTGTAATTCATAGAATCTATTAATAAATCAATCATATTTGCAGTGGTATCTAATTTTTATTCTCTTGGGTTTTTTTTTTTTTGGGCCAACTTATACTTTTGATTATTTCCACTAGATTTTATTTGTTCCTAAAAGGTCTTAACAATTTTTTTTCTTATAATTTATTAGATTTATTATCAAGTCACACTATTTTTAAAGGTAAATTGTTAATTTTTACTGTTGCTTATTTTTATTGAATATTATTTTGTTTCTTGAAATTTCTAATAATTCTTTTTTTTTAGGGATTAATTGTTTGAGGATATAAATTATTGTCTTATTAGCATTCGAATTTTAATTTTTGTTATAATTTTTAAGCTCTAATAATGTTATTTTTATCTAATTTTTTTAATTCATATTTCATTTTTTGTTTTTTACTTGGGAGTCCTAGGCTTTGTTTGCTAATGTGTTGTGCAAACCTTTTTCTCATAACACTTTATCTAAAAAAGGGTAAGTTTCTAATTTTTAATTATTTTTATATAATTTTATTAAATTATTAGTCAATAATTATTTTTTATTATTATTTTTAATTACATATAATGTATTAAATTAAAGGAAGAGG